CTTTCAAGAAAGCAGTAACAAAGTATTTGATGGCGACCACTCGACTGTTGTGATCGTTCGAGCCCACACACTCTTCCGCCATGGAACTGATTCGCTGGATGTACTGGTCCATTCTCAGGCCGCGAGATACTGCAAACTCAAAAAGAGCTAGCAGTGCGGCATATGTTGCGGACTGTTGATAATTACTGCAAACAAATGTGGGAAGTGCTTCATTTTCGAAAACAACAAATGAAAAACATGATAAAGATGAAAATGCGAATTAAAAAGCAGAAAGAAACGAGCGAAATCAACAAAATTAGAGGAAAAAAATCGAAAAAAACGTGTAAAAAACGTCCGAAAATAAGCAAAAACCTCAAAAATTAGTAGCAAACAAAATGGAAATGAAGTGTTAACAAATACAAAAAAAAGTAAAACAATGCAATGGAAAAAATATAATCTATCGATAAGGTACTGTGATCTGGCTGTGGCAGTTTTCGAGACGAGTTATAGTGCTGCCCAACAAGTACATCTGTAAGGGCAGATGCTGTGCAGGTATTTCCCACAGGAGACGAAACGAACATCAGAATCACTAGCAGGCAGACCAACAGGCCAAGCAGCACTGGTCAAAGCAACTGAAAAAGCTGCCAACTCTACGGCAAAAGAGCTGCACCATGAATTACAACAGGTCCAACAAATATGATAAATTAGCAAAAAAAAAATTTATATGTGTGAAGAGATACCGTCGCTCGAAGGTAAGGGAGAGGGGGATCAGAGCCCCCTCCAAATTCATTTTCTGTGAAGCGGGGACACCCAGAAGCAGCTCAGATGGGTCACGCGCAACAACAACAACCATCCACCGGCTATGATTCTAACAGTTTGCCAAATTCGACAACAATTTAGAAAAAAACTGATGTTGAATTTTATATCCTGCCATTTAGCACCGAAATGTAAGTTCAGAAGAGAGAAGCACTACTTAGAAATAAAATAAACAGCGACGCCCGCCAAGGCAGCCGGTGCGACCATGCGTTTTATGTAGATCCGCGCAATGAACGTCTGTCTGCTAAGGATTTTCACTGTTTTGCACTTGGGTCTGTGCAAAAATGGTTGAAATGTTGCCTGGTCCTACTAAAAAATATCATGTACCGATGCGCGAAAGTTGAATTCGAAACCCGGGGACGATGGACATCCTTCCAAAATTTTAACTTTCTAATTTTTCGGCTTTCGAGTGATTTTCGCGCCGAACTTTTATGCGGTCGAAAAAGAAACCTTAGCATACCCGGGAAGTGAATTTGGGTTTGTGAGGCCTCTGCAGAGACAGAAAACATCCTCCTGAAGTTTTCAGCCTCCCGGCTTTTCTCGCTCCCGAGATAATAAGTTCTCCACTAAAATTGCGCAGCACGCACGGGTAGGTGAAAGTTGAATTTAAATTTGTGAAGTCATATTTGAGCGAGAAATATTATCCAACTTCAGATTGTCAACTTTCGCGACTCCCGAGACAATTTTCCTTGCCAAAAGTTCTGCGTAGCTGTAGTGATACCCAGGTGCGCGAGAAGGCTGGATTTAAATTTGCGAGGTCGTACGTGGGACAGGGGTCATTACGGTAATAACTCAACTTTCTATCTTACACAGTTTCCAATATAAAAATTTTTCTCGCCAAAAGTTTCGCGGGTTCATACGTGGTACCTAGGTGCAAGGGAAGGCTGAAATTAAATTTGCGGGGTCACACATGGGAGAGGAAACACCACTTCAAATTTTCAACTTCCTAGCTTTTGTGATTCCCGAGTTGAAAGTTGCATCAGACACAATTTCAGCTTCCTAGCTTCCGCACATACACAGACAACTTCGTGACAATATGCGTTTTGTGCAGCTACTGCACAGCACAAAACGCATAAAATCTGGTATAAGCACAGAAGTGAACTTTCAGAGAAACTAAATAAAAAAGAATGATAAAGTTTATGAAGTTGTTCATGCTTTTCCAACAAAAAAATATGAGGTCAACAAGGTGAAAATGCAAAATTTAGTGAAAGACCAGGTCAAGTTAGGAATAATATTATCCAAAATTATTTATTTTTGAAGAAATCACATGAAATTTACCATTTTTCGTCGCGTTTTACATTGAGCAGAGCAGTCATTTCATCCCAGGTATCCTGCTTCAAATCTATCGAATTGCAAATGTGTAGCGTGTAATGCAAGCACATATTGATGGTTGCGATAGTTTTTGAAGTTGTTGCTATTCGAATGAGAAGTTTCGCGCATTCCACTGCCAAAGAATCCTCCAAAACTGAGAGATGTTCGCCGTGAAATTCTCGTAAACGGAAAAGCGACCTGGATTTTTCCAGTATTAAACGCTCGGCTCATAAATACAGTTCCAAAAATACTTCCTCCCATTTCGCATCACTCCCTCCTCCCCTTCCCTTCCCCCTTTCCATTGTCCCCTTCTCTCCCCAAAACCCTGATTATGGCACTCAATTTCCTTTTTGTTAAACACTACACAGCTGATTTTAGTGCATTTTTTTCTTGAATTTTCATGTTTCTCCCAGTAATTTCAGCTTCTTCCATTTCCTTTGTCTCAGCCAAATTCTGCATTCCCCGCAGTTGCTTTGCTGTTTTCGCATTTCTTCTTTGCACAGAGTTTTTAATGACCTTTTTAAATTAAAAAAGACGGAAGGAAAAGAGAGGTGACTGCTTTTTTTTTTCTTCAGATGTAATTAAGAAAATTAAGAAAATTAAGGACTTAGCCTGAAAGAACTAAGAACTTAGCCTGAAGAGCTAAGAACTTAGCCTGAAGAAAAAACTAAGAACTTAGCCTGAAAGGAAAAATTAAGAACTTAGTCTTAAACTGTCATTTCACCACTCCTTAACGCGTGAATTTGCTAAGTTGTCCGCGACTGCACTGGAAGCTACCAAATGTGAAATCGATGAGATGCTGGATCAAACAAAGTAACAAAATTGTCTTAACAACTAGTGCGCTGACGAAAATGTTAATGATAGGACTAGGAACAACACATATATACACATAGCAGCTATGTCTGAGATGGTCGCATACGCGGGTACCATGCTTACCCGGGGGATGGGTTCCAGTGCACTAGCACAAGCTTGAAGGAGGAACATCCCCCTAAGATTTCAGCATTCTAGCTTTTCAGATTCGGGAGTTATGACCTTAAATCGGAACTTACCCTGACTTGTTGCCACTTTCCTCAAATTTAAGACATTCCTCGAGAACAGTGATCGGGCTGCGACTCGATATTCTCAGCCTGCCAATTTCGGGCTGTGGCTGCACGCTGCTGCCGCTCGCTTGCAATCGCACTCTTTTGACATCGGGCAGCGAAAGCGCAGACGCTATCTGCTGCTCCAATGCACGCTGCATTATAATGATGCATTTTTCAGTCACAACAAAATTAGCTCCAAAGACAGTAATATAACAGACAAAAACACTACTGGCAAGCACGGGGCCCTGCTGCTGCTGCTGTGAGGCCGAGGATTCCACTTCACCGGTGGCGTAACCAATCCCTCTACGATTCGTTCGATAAATCGTCTCGTTTCTAAGTAACTCTCGAAAGAGGAAGCAGCCGCAGAGACCTCGTCACCACCAGATGGTTGCTGTTATCAGCATTTTCTATCACTCAATTGCTCAGGTCTCTCGAACAGAGTGAATATTGGAGCGGCTTTGACTCGTAGGCGGATCCAGAACGGAATTCTAGACGGAGGAGGGGGAGTGGGGTTCCTGGAGCGTGGGAGCTTTTTCTCCTTCCCACCCTGGAACTATGCAAGAACTAGGAATAGAGTTGTAACACACTGCTACTATTTCCCTCATCTTTCCACCTACTTAAAAAAATTTTAAGCGGAGACAAAAGAAACCATAGACGGGCCCAGGACGAACTACCGGGGGTGACGAGGAGCGTAGTAAGGCAGATCCAGGACAGACTCCAGGAACTATGCAAAAACTGAAAACAGAGTTGTAACACTGCTACTTAGAGATACTTCAGCTTTATTTATGAACTGACCCGGGCTTCTGTAGACTAGTGTCTGTGCCGTTGGAGGAAGGGGAGGAAGCCCCCCGCCCTCCCATCCATTGGACTCGGCAGTGAAAGAGAGGACGAGAAGAGAGTTAAAATTAAATTCGTCATAAGCTGAAAAGTATGTGTAATTACTGCGCATAGACGTTCAAAAGTCAAAGACCTTTCAAATTTTCCTTCTTTCTCTCTCTCTTTTCACGACTCGGCGAAAAACTCGGGGCTACGAACCTCTATGCACTACCGCGACGAGGAAACAGAACAGGTCCCTGGAAAAAAAAGCGCTATTTTAGGAATGCATCCACCTTCCCCCTGGGCAGAAAAGGGGTAGAACTGCCCGAAGTACCAGTTCGAAACGAGCAAGCCCAGGCGCTCTCCCGACTCAGAACACGCTTAGACGGACAGTAATGAGCGCT